TTTTTTCTAATGAGATTAACTTTTGCAATAAAGGAAACAGGAAGCGGGTGAGCAAATGGGTCAGAAAGGTAAAAGTCATGCATGTTTGTTTTTAGTCCATGTTGTGAAACTGTTCCCATCTCCTCCAAACTCCCAAAAATCAACTGTCAACAAATTGCACAACAGTGCTTGTTTTGAACTGGAAGCGTATCTCTCAGATGAGCAGAGAAAGATAACAGAAGATATAAAACTAACCAAGAAAAACAGAAAATGGAGTGATATATGTCTGAGTAACCACAACTGAAGTTTTCATCCAGTGTTCATGAAGCTAGTGCTCAAGTGGCAGAGGGAAAGGAATGCGAAGACATTTTCCATTTCACACAGGATATCTGAGTGTAAGCTAAGAAAAAATCAGGACTGTTTTAATAAACAGGGGTCTTTTAAGTCAGCTTTATAAAACACTGAATCTATTCAGAAAATAGATATGTAAACTTTGTGTTCAGAACAATTAGTCATGGGTGAAAAAAAGAAAAATACCCCTCCTAAAAATAAAAAATAAAAAAAAAAAATCACTTTACTAGAAAAATCAGAAGAAAAATATAAATATTCCAATGTGCAAAAGAAGGGTGAGTTCAGAACAAAGTTTGTATACTTTATTCCAAAATCTTTGGCTATCTCCACCCATATACTAATGTGCTTTCCAGGTAAAATATATCTGCACAACAATACCTCTAATAGACTTCATGGAGCCAGCTCTGTTCCCTGCACTCCATTCCCTGTCACAGGCACCAATAAAATCAGAAGTCTATAAATACAGCCAGAAAATCAACTTTTCTGCCTTCTGATGTCCAGCCAGATTAAGAGAAATAAAAGAGGATATTTTGTTTATTTGTTTACTTTCAATTTAAGCTAAGTTATGCTTATTTTAAGATAAGTTCTTTGGATCCTTTCAAGGATCCCGTCATTAGACAGGGTGAAACAATGTTAGGAGAGCATTAAAGACAACATGACCCCCCAAAACGGCACTGCAATGTCCATTTGCTGGTCCCACCACTTCTGACTTGTTGCCAGAAGCAGCTACAGTAGGCTGACATCTCATCTCACATAGCCACGTCCCCCCACACACAACCTTTCTTCCCCATAGTGAAGCTTTCATTCAAAATGAACTATTTGTTTGCCTTTAGTTAGAAAACAGGCATCTTTCTTTGCCCTCCCAGTCTTCCAAAGGTGGGCTGATTACCATAGTTTCTCAACATAAATTGATCAAAATCAGAGAAGGACAACTGGGGGGTTCCCCCCCCCCCCAGACTGTTTTGAAGCAAATAAAGGTATTTACACCTTTCTTTTTAACTGCACAGCAGCATGTGTAAAGGCAGCTTCAAAGATAAATTTCTCCAATATCTATATAGTATATGCATTTTTATGTACCTTCATACATTTTATGCATTTATATATTGCAAAAGTGTCCTCAGAGCCCACTTTGAAAGAGTCCAACTAGTGCACCAAGGAAATAAAATTCAGGTGCTCTGTGATTAAAGACGCTCTCACTCGTACCTGCTCTGTCCTTACCAGTGCTATATCCTTTGCAGAAATGACACTGGGAAGACCAGGAGCCCAGGCTGTCCAGAAGGACAATGGGTACATCCACACCAACATGATACAGCGTTCTGCAAGAGCAGTTACGCCACATCTCACTACCTCCACCTAACCCTGTCCTCAACACCATCCAGCCCACCTCTGCACTCCTCTGTCCTCCCACCACACCCTTCTGAACCTCACCTGTGGTGTCCAAACAGCTCTAAGCTCACCCACAAATCTCTCATTACTCCCAGGACAAATAAAAGAAGATACAGTGTAGAAGTTCTTGCCATTTTTAGTGTCACTTTTGAAAATTCTAGCTGCATAAAAGTTTTCAGCAAAGAAAACTTTTATCACCTTGATAAATGTTGCTGAAGAAAAAAATGGTATGTAAAACAAAAGCTAAATTTGTATGCATAATATTGTTAGGTTATACTTAATTTCCTCTCCATTTCTGACCCCTGTAAGAAACATGCAAGTCCTTTTGCAATTTTTGATCTCTTTTCTTCTGTTCCAAAAACTTAGATGAAAAATTAGCAAAATTTGTAAATTTTACAGCTTACTGTAAGTAAGTGTGACAATGGCAATAGATGGATCAGAGAGATGCAAATCTGATTTCTGCAGAACACAGCTCTAAGAGTAGAGATTTAAAACCATATAATCAGTGCAATAGCAGTAGTCTTTTGAAATCTCAGATGTAATACAAGTTCATGGCAAGCAGCTAAGGTTCATATGATCTCCTAGCCTTTGAATGATTTTATTTTGCTAGGCTTTTGAAAAGCTTCAATTCATAGCTGGCTCCACAGCCTGTTTTTGTTGTTGATGCTGTTTTTTTGTGTGTGTTTTCTTTTTTCTTGTGTGTGTGTGTGTTTGTTTGCTTGCTTTTGGTAAGAGTATCCCATCGAGAGCTCTTTGCACATTTTATTGAAGGGTATTTTATGTACATCATCTCATGGAAAAGCTCTGTTGAATATTTGTAAACCATTCTTGAGAAGAATCTCTTTTGCCCTGAGGACACATCACTGGAGTCAGGAGAAAGAGCTCCAGAATTACAGCTACATCCAAAGTCCCACACACTGCATTCTCCTATGGGGTCCACATTACAAAAACCACAGAGCAGTCATTCACTGCTATGTTTTTGATTATATATTTTTTTATTTTATTTTGTGGTTTTCTTGTAGCTTTTACTTCTGTGACATAACTTTTTCTTTTTGTTTTACATTAAAAGCTCAGGGCAGAAAGAGAAGCAGACCAGATCTGCCAGAAATGTTGGGAAAGATTTTTCAGATTAAGACAGGAGTTTGCAACCTCTTTTCTGTACAGTTCCTAACAACGAAGCATAATACTCTGCCTTCCTCACAGATTTTATGTCACATCTCTTTGGACTGTACAGCTCCTAGCACAACCAATTCTAATAGCATTACAAATCAAATGATGTGTTAGGACTGATTATGTGATGCCTGAAACAAATGCTTTTAGAACTGTTATGTTAAATTTAACTTATAAAGTAACGTGGAACAAAAATTCCTACTTGTGAATTTTGCATTACTAGATTTTTGCTGTTCAGAGAAGAGAAAATTCAGCATAGATAGCATAGTAAGTGTTTCACAACATCTACCCAGAAAGCTACTTCTGCACATACTCTTTTACCTGCAGCCTTGCTGACAAAGGAGTTTGTTAGACACGTTTGATTCACGTGTAATGAAAGCCTGAATAGCTGTGGTCGCAAGGAAATTTTAAAAGTCTGTAAATACCAAGTGTGGTTCCCATCACACATAAAAGAAAATAAGCTGAGCTCTATCTGGAAAATATCCTTCTCACTGTGCTTGAAAAAGGAACATCATGTCATAGTGATTCACTGCTACATGCTGATTTCAAGTGAATGCATTGAGAGTACAGATGCAAAATCATACAATCTACTTACCATACCATTGAAAAGGTGAAGGGCAGGCTATGCTTTTAGGGCCCACATACATTGCCCCAGGATCTACCAAGGGCGTTTCTATCCACACGCTGACTGCATGCCTTCCATTGCACTTAGTGTGAGGCCCAGCGTGTCCCCCAGCTATTTCATCATATCTGCCATTACTAAGCTCTCCAAGCCAACAAACTAAGGTTTTTTTTTTCCTACTCTTTGTGATACAACATGAACTTTCCTTGTTTGGTTTATGTTCCAAGAGACAAATGATGGGGAAAACATTTCTGAAACTCTTTCATTTGTCAATGACAAATGCAGAGATTTATATGAAACACCAACAAAATGGAAATACTGACTGATCTTCAGTTCAGATGAAAAGTGCTACCTAGGTGAAAAGTGTCATTGTTATGAATCAACTGCACGCACGTCACAGGCATAACAAAGTAATGTTTATTGCTGGTAACCTTTGTAGTAATCATAGTTTCCAGGAGGACTCTTTAATTTATGATCAAACTCTACGGGTGAGATTTCAAGAACTGCAGAAGTAAATTTGGTGCCAGCTCACATGGAAAATTGCCGAGAAATGGGTGCTTAACTCCCACAGGGCCTTTGAAAAAAGGCACATCTTGCATTAATTGGAAGTGGGGAGGAAACAGAAATTCAATACAGTATCACAAGAGCATGAGAAAGAAAATGCCATATTGAGCAACTTTGAAGGAGAAGTTCTGTGTTAGTGAAGGACAAATTACTGCAGAATCATGTTATTTACTGGCATTGTACTTTACTTCACCGCCAGGAGACAGCAAAAATTAAAAAAGATATCTTGCAATGTCTCAGATCCTTCCTTTTTAGTTCTCCAGAGCCCTCAGTGGCAAACCCCATTCAACCACAATCCTATCTCCAGCATTATTCAACATCTGTAGAGAGTAAAGAGAAGAGGCAGATAGATTCCCTGGGGATGGGACCAGAACAGCAATGCATGCTTGTGTTAGGGTTTCTCTCTGTCTCACATCCCAGTATCACTACTTAAATTGTGCAGTAAATACCTGGAGGGAAAGCAGCTAAAATGACTGACTGTAGAAAAGATCAAGGTGATGTTGATATGAATTCATATAACATCTTTCAAAAACCCTAATACATTCCACAGCATCACCTAATGTTTAAGCTTCCATCCTCAGGTTGCTTCACTTCAGTCCTAGAGGTCTTCTGTGCTCCTCATGCTTCTGGAAGTTCATGTCAGGACAGCATAAAGAAAACATATATTTGCATCCAAAATGGGACTGAATATTGTGCAAGAGCCCACATAATGACTCATGCTTAGTCAGGGACACTTTTTTTTTATGCCTCCATAGGATTCCCTATCATAGATCTGTTCCTGAAACCTGGTTTGTTTGCTTGTTTTGTTTGTTTATTTTTGTTTATATAAATGAATAAATATATATATAAACAGTCATCTAGACAGTTAGCAACAGAAGCCATTGCAAATGCCACTTGAGGCTTTCATCCTCTGCACTTGCTCCCTGCACTGCACCAAATAGACTGAACATTGTTTGACACTCAAAGTACTCCCAGGATTTCACCCTAATCAGCAGCTCCTTCCCTCCCCATTAAAGGCTGCCCAAAGATACCTACTTTTCTGTGGAAGCACTGGTAAATGCAGGCACTGCTTCCTAGGGAGGGATGGAAACTGTTCAGAGGCTGCACACAGCTGGGAACTTTCCCCAAAAAGAAGCCAAGCTCCAACACATCTACTAAATAAGCAACCACATTTTGTCAAGTGGATGAGGTGTACAGGGGGAGAATTACAGCTCCATCTAGTTTTGAATACATAGTGGGTCAGATACTACAATGAAATGTATTGGATGTATTTGATCCAATATCTTGGATGCCCAAATAAGCAGGCACTGGGGCAAATAAATCATCCATTTTCTCATTCCCCTCACTGAACTCTGCACGAATGGGAATAAACAACAGTAGCCATAAGCCATGGATAAGGGTCTGCACTTAGACCATGCTTGTTAGTCAAGAGTTCGGCTATGACAATGAGCTACAGGCTCCGCACTTCCGAGGAGGATGAAGAACATGAAATACAGTGAAGGTAAGTCCTACAGTAGAAATTCAGAGAATACCACAACATTATATACAGTTTGAACTGCTTTTACTAATTTACACAAGGTTTGTAACAAAATACATAATGAGATCTTGTTCTGCATCCATAAGTTACAAAACATGAATTTATCATTAAAAAAAAAAAAAAAAAAAAAAAAAAAAAAACTTTTCTTATGATTCAGTTTTCTCAACTTGCTGAGTTATTTAACTCCAAATTAAATTTGTTGTTGGGCAGTGGGCTAACAAGGATTGTGGCTGCTTATGTCAGGAAACAGCTGGCTGCAAGACAAAGTATTTCATGGGAACTGTTGTAACTCAGCCGGTGCCAACCCCCACAGTTATTCATGACCTTCTGCCTGCACACAGCTCTTCAGAAATATCTAGCACATACTACAGCTTGGCACTAGAAGAGCTGAAAAACCTGACGATGACCAATGGGCTTCTCTGAGTCTGTTTTTGTTTTAGTATTTCTTCCATCTTGTGATCATTTGGTTTCTCCTGCTTTAAGTTATTCTTGGTGAAGTCCCAGATTTTCTCCTTACTAGGAGCCTGTGGTGGAAGTGGTCTGGTGCCACAGATGTGTAGCACCTTCTTAGACTAACAGACTGCAATTAAAAGAGAAAAATATTGGTAATTATACAGCCTTGATCCTAGAATTTTAATTAGGGTAAAAGGATCCTTCTATTGCTGAAATTCAAGGAACAGGTAAATATAAATTGCTTGGCAACTGGGCTCCATTTTGTTTCAAGAAAAAATGCTTGGTTAAGTTGAAGACAGGTACTACTCAAAAAGTTAACCTCCCTTCCAAATTCAGTAATTAGGTTTTGACCCAAGCGTTGGGAAGGTGGCAGAGGTGCAACACGATGATGAAAGGGTGGCAGCACTGCAAAACCAGGGAGCTGGCTTTGCTGTAACAACAGCATGATTTCCATTCTTCATCCATGCTGCACTGATGTAATGACATTGGTGGAAAATGCTAAGTTTGACCTTGCTCAGAGCATATGAAATCCCAGTGCTCATGGGCTTCTGCAGCCTATGAAAAGGGGAATGTTCAGGCTTACAAGGAGACTGTAACCATGCCGGAAACCCCAGATGGCCTCATTTAGATAAGGACAACTTTCAGCTGGAAAATAAACCCTGTGTATATGAACCTTGAGCATTTGAGAATTATCCTCCACATAGACAATCTGGGGCCCCAAAGAGATCCCCAATATTTGCAATATGATAGAGGTCTCAAGAAAGATCTATGATGTAAGAAAACTGGTCTGTGAAATAGCAGTGGAAAAAATAAAGCTAAGATTTTTTTTTTTCAGTAGGAATATTGGGAGTCTCCAGAAACCTCAAACCACTGTCTGTTTTATTTTAGCTGTATCTACTGATGTATATTGACTGTAGGGAACAATTTATAAGCACTTTCCAAAAATTTAAGTGTCCATAGATTTACGCAGAGTATACCAACATTCTGTAGTAAGTAAAGATTGGCAGTTATTGAAGTTTGAAAGACTAGATCAAGGATATGAGATTCAACATTTGCAATAATCTGACTGGGGCATTAAAAAAAATGTTTATTTTGCAAATAGTTCTTATTTCTAGAGCCAAAAATGATTGTAAAAGGATTAGATTAGTAACCAGGAGTCCAAACAAGCTTATTCAGCTTATTTTACTGCTTGTGTTGATGACACTTTCTTTTGTCTTCATCCAGTATTGGGAAGCGCTTTATCATCTTCTGGTTTGGAAAAAGACCCAAGCAGCTAATGTAAAAAAAATATATTCTTCAGTAACTGCTGCATGATTAATTTTCCACCCCATGAAATCACTGTGAGCTTGAAAGCACCCTAGAGCTTTATTTGCTACTTTATAGTCATCAAGGATCATAAAGCATCTTCTTCCTTCCGCACCGCTAGCACTTCAGAGAGCCAGTATGGTTGAGTGGAATGAGCAAAGGGTTGAAAACCAGGAAATTTTGATTATAAACCTAAAACAGTTTTTGACTTGCCTTTGGCCTTAGTTAAATAATGCTGGACTCAGTTCTCTGAAGCAATAGAGTCCTCTGTTCCAGCTAAAGGCATTGCAGGCTCCAGCCCGCTTGACACCCAGATCCTGATACCTGCATTATAAAATGGGGATAATAGTACCAATGTTTTTTTTCATCAGAAACTTTGGGGTTCATTAGTGAAGAGGAGTACATAACAGGAAAGTATTCTAATTAAGGTTTATAAATCATTTTCAGAAGACGAATTACTCATTAAAGTTGTTCCACATCATTCCACCTAGATAAGCACATGCAGGAAATCCTGCACATTACCTTTCCCTGTTACTATACCAAAAGCTGGCTTGGGGGCTTCTCCATTTTCCACATCATTAGGACAGTCCAATCCCAACAGCAGCAAATGAAAATACTGATGTGGTATGGTCTGGTGGTACTTAGAGTTACCCAAGCCCCCCAAAACAGCATCAGCCCTGATCTCTGTAACAGTTTATAGGATTACCCCAAAACAGGTCAGCTCTTCCATCAATCTGAAGTTCTTTATCTCCTGCGGGGTGAAGGGAAATGGAAGCGTGATACATGGAACGGAAGGATGCCCCGGGCCATATTCTCCCCTGAAACAGAGAGGGACAGAGCAGGTTAAGTAGGACCATGCACAGTATTACTGGCACCATGGAAATAAGCCGGAGAAAAGAATATGCATCCAGATTACATTGCCATGATGGTACTACCCTTGAGTGACCTCCAGGGATGATCCTTAAAGATAAGGTCCTACCAGTTCCCAGTGGGGAAACTGAAGTGCAGGAAAGTCAGGGATAATAATATAAGGGTTATACAATACATATACATGTATGTGTTATGCAATACATATGCAATATATGTAACAACACATCCACCATTTGGTGGAACCTGCAAATTTCACATGGACTTAAAGATCTGCAAGGGCTGGTGCAGGACAATGGATTTGCTCCCTTCTGCCGCTGTGGACAGCCACAAAGAATTCAGCAGAATACTCAGAGAAACAAGAGTTAGGCAAGAATTTCAATATGAATTCCCAATATTGACCTGTGTCATTTCACCCCCAGTTGCGCTAGAAAGAAATACACAAATACATTGAGGACATGACCTTCAGCATTACTTTTCAGAAAATGTGTTTCTCCTTAACATCTTCTAGTTCTGCATCCACAAACTAATTATTCTTCGGACATTCTGCCAGGTGAAAAAAATAATACAGATAATTATTATAATGTTTTTCAGGGTGGTTTTGCTTAAAAAAAAAAAAAAAAAAAAAAAAAAAAAGTCATATGAAGTTAAGGTTCATCTGCATCTTCTTAAAATGCCATTAAACACAATTTTTCCCCATTTATTTTTACTCACATAATTTTTCCCATCTTATCCTTCCAGCTCCTTGCTTCTCTGCATGAGTCTTCTAGATGCCAGCGAAGATCTTTTTGGCTGTGTGACTTTCAGTAAAAATGCAAAATAAAAAACAGCAGAGTATGGACTATAAAACACAATTTTAGCAATGAAAATTTCTGAGATACATTTCTGCCAATGTACTTTCATATCAAAAAAATATTTAAGTGTGTTAAATGTAGCATTAATCTTCATTTCACATTTTGGACCCATCTCCCTTATGGCCTATAGTTGCATAGTTCCCTGCTATACAAAACCATCCCTTCAATTTACTTTTTGTTCACTTTGCTCAGTTTCTGCAGTGATGAATTTAACACTCAGTACCATTTTCTTCATGCCTCTTGTTGTTCTCTTAAGGATGTCAATGCAAGCCACAACCTGTGAGTGTTTATGTTCAGTGTCACCCAGACACTGCCAGCTGAAGACAGCATTGCACCATTTAACTAGATTAATTTTCTTGAGATGGACCTTGCTACTAGTCTCTTTTCCAGCTGGACAGGATAATCAGGTTGTCTCAGCCCAGCCAACAAAGAGTTTAATCCTCAAGCCCTCGATCTTCCATAAATCTGTCTACAGAGAGCCACTGCTAGAAATTCTTTGTCGTTTATGTCATATCTTGTAAAATCTGTTGAGCCTACTTCGAGCATGTGTCTGTTTTGACTTTTCCTGAAGAACAGCCTCTCTCTGGAGGGAAAGTCTGAACTGTAGCATTTATCTTTCCGTGCATTCAGATAGGCAGTTGTGAAAGTCTCTTTCTCATGGGGATATTTTCCAGTGAGTCATATCTGCTCTCTCTGGATTGACAAGTTTTGACAGCAAAGTATTAATGCTATCTTGCAATATTAGTCAGCTGGACTCTGACAGAGAGCTGAATAAAAGACAGGCCTTCATCCTGACATCCATTCCCAAGCAAGGTCCCCATTAAAGAAAAACAGGTTCTTTCCCTGAGTGATCAACAGGGATGAAGAAGAGTGGGCAGAATGTATTTCAGTGCATAGGAACTAGCAGCTAACCCCACAAAGCTTCTCCATAAAAAAAATCCAAAATATCCTTTTCCTAATCTTTGTCTTTGCAGCACAACCTGGGCAAATGGAACAGCTGAGCTAAAAACTATAAAAACAGAATTTCCTTATTTCCTTCAAAGTGAAAATTGAAGAGGAAAAAAAAAAAAAAAAAAAAAAAAAAAGAAATTATCTTAATTGCAAATCCCAATTTTCAGAGATTTCAGATTCCCACCTGGAAGTGTGGCATGGAAGTCCTTCCTTTGCACAGTTATCAGCCAACACTTCTACCTCACATACTCCCACTGTTCCCTTTGCTTCTGCACATGGACTCTTCTACATCTTTTAACATGTTTACCCTTGCAGCATTCTTCTCTGCTTCTCCATAGATTTTCCTCATTTTGCAAACAGACAACTGAGGCAGAGAGAAATCAAAGGTTTGCGGCGGGGGGGGGGGGTTGGGGAGGGTAGGTGGTGAACTGCATAATACTGAAGCATTGTTACTGGATTCTTTAGATGTGCCTGGATTCACCGTAGATGCATGGAGCTGGGTGCAGAGTTGTTTTTAAAAGCACCCTGCATGCCTGCTGCATCATGAAGTGCCTAACAACTCTCCCAAACAGCTCTGAATGATTTCTGTCAGCTTAGTGAAGTGAACAGTGTTACAGCAAGAAATCCTAAGTCTCATACTGGCACTGTCTGCCCTTCATCTTCTTTCTTTCTTTCCTTTTTTTTTCTCTCTCTCTTTTTCTCTCTCATTGACCTCAAATTATTGTAGATACTCCAAGTAAAACAGAACCATATCTTTTGCTGGATGAGGAGCAAAAGAATGGAAATTTTCTCAACATTGTCTGAAACAGCTCACAGTTGAGATTCATGGAAGTTGAAATCAGTCAAATTCAGACCTTTTTTTTTTTTTTTAACAGCAAAGATGATTAATCATTGGCACAGCCTAAAGATGTCTGCAAGATTTTCCAGCACTAGCAACATATAAATCAACATTGGATGGCTTTCAGAAAGAGATGCTGACGTTCAAGTAAAAATGAATCCAGGGAAGACCTGTGACCCGTGTTACGTGGAATCAGATGGTCAATGGTCACAGTAGTCTTTTGCAGCACTGCAATCTATTAATTAGATCTTCTGCTCCCTTCTCAGGGATCACTCTTTCAATCCCACTCCAACTTGATTCATAGAGCAACTGCTTAGCATCAGAGGTAATTTATACTTGAGTTCCCATAGATTCTTCTTCTCAGACACCCAGCAGGAGGCAGGTCTATTAAAAATGCCATATAACCCCTGCAAGGCTGGTTTAGCTGCTCCCATTTCTCATGCACGGGACACATGCTCATCAGATGGCAGCACAACTTCTGGAAGGAAAACCCAAATCCTAGAGTAACAAGGACAGTCTTGGAAAATCCTTGTGACTACTGGGGCATCGCCCACATTGTGGAGCACATTTGCAGTCATAATGACCACCAAATGTGGCTGAAGCCCATTCCCATGCTCAAATTAATCTTCAGCCTATAAATCTCAGAAGTATGCACTGTTTCAACTATGAAGTGCTCCAAGTGCCCTTGAAGAAATGAGTAATTTAGTCATAGAGCCTACACAGATTATGCACAGATCAATCCACCAGTAGACATATAAAGTTTGACTCTTCCTAAGCACAGTACAGTTATTTTCAAGACATGCTATAAGCAGCCTGGCACTAATATGCATAAGAAACACTTCAGCCCAGTATATCTGAATGTGATCATCCATTCTTCACTTAAAAGACAAGACCTTTGCATAATTTCCACTAGCTGTTCTCAGTAATCACAAATCTATTCTCTCTGGGGTTTTGCAAGAGACTGAGACATGATTGTTCTTACAAAAATGTTTTTCTTCCAATCAAATTTAAAATGGCTCAAGACTATTTATCTTGTTTATTGTCCCAATATGCAGTATTTTCATTTACCAATACCACCATGGAAAGTATAAATTTGAGAAAACTTTTCCACTTGGTTATACCCAGCTACCAATTCTTCCTAAAGTGCCTCTACACTTCATTATAGAGGTAACTAAAGGACAATGCAGAATCACCTAAACTTTCTCTATACTAATTTTCTTAGACCCTACTAGCAACCTAGGGCAGCAGCGCGGATGTCAGCGCACACAATTTTTTTCTGTATTGTGACTATAATATAAGAACACATAAGTCACCATTCAGCACATGCCAAGATAAGGCTAAGATGGTTATTTGACATACATTACACAGTCCCTGGGACAAGCAAATGGTTTAAATTATTTGGGGTTTTGGCAAATAAGTCATTAAAGAGACAGTAGGGATTGCTAATATTACATTTATTTACAGGAATAATTTTTGCAAGTGATGAATTAATAATGCACTTTGTCTTATGACCTCAAAAATGCACCTTGTTACAGTAAGGGAGATTTTATTGGTGACCAGACCTACAGCAGATCATTAGGCCACAATATAAATTAAAAGCTTCTCCCTGTACAAAAAATATTGGACACTATTTTAAATAATGTTCCTGCACTACTGTTGGCTGCTGGGCATCAGTGGGTCGTGCTAAGTGCTGCCAGGTCAAGTCCCTTCTGCAGGGCAAGATTAATTTACTTTGTTCAGCATATCTAGTGTGAATGCTCATATCAAAGCCAGTCACCGTCAGTTTCTTTTAGGTCACTACACAGTTTTAAAACGAAGTTCAGTTGCCTGACTTTAGTAGTATACTGCAGGGTGAGATGAATCACAACCTGAAAGTGCCCGTTTCTTCCCCCTGGCTATAAAAAAAGCTTTGACAGTTGGCTCAGCTGTGAACATCTGCACTGCAAAGCTTTTCTGCTGATCAGAAGAGCGCCAGCCTCTGTGGCTGTTAGGATGTATGGTGGCAGCTATCTCCACAATTCCCATTTTAATCGTTTGAGAGGACATATGCCAAAATATCATTGAATAGTATTAATAAAATTATGTAGGCAGCTACTGTCAGCCACATAACAGATGTTTAAGTGCTGTTCAAATGCCTTGGCTTTCCGAAGGATGTAGCTGTAGGTGGTCCAGAAGAAAATGAAGCCCTTTTTTTTGTGCAGATACCTATTTCCATGCATAAGTGTAAGACAAACACTGGCTTAAACACTGAGCTTGGAAGAATGACCAATCCTAGAGAAGATCTGTGAAGAATTATCTTCACAGAAATGTAGATTGAACACTGGGTACCATTATTAAAATAAGTAACTTTTAAAAATTTGATTAAATAAGATTGTAAAAGAGGTATCTCCTTCTCACTGATGTGAATAATTGTTTTGTCAATTGATTACTATGATACCAGTTACTGTGGACAAGAGGAATATAAGAAATTTGCCTTTGATTTTTTATGCCATGTAAATTACTTTGAAAAGTTTCTGCAGTGCATTTTGTTAAGTCATTAAAACTGCTGCTCTTTTGCACAGGTAGGAAACTGAAGCATTCCAGTGTTCTTTTTACTGAGCAGTTATCTTTTTGCCATGTTTCCGGGACTTGCATTTACTTCAATATAACAATCCACTATGACAAACTGTTTTCCCAGCTTATAAAACTACCATTCTTTGAAGCTGATGGCAGCTGTTTTGTAGCTGTCATACCATATAATATGGGTAAGGTCACTCCCTGTAGCGAGCTAAATTACAGAATTTGGTCTAGTGCCAAATTCTAAAAGCAGAGATACCACATTATTGTGAACTGTGGTGTCCAGAGTTTAATGTACTTCTTATTAAAATCAATGGAAAGTTTGTTTCAATGGGGATTGGATCGAGTCCTAATTACATGTCGACAAATGCTTGTCGTATGCCAATTCCAGTGTTAGAACTGCTGTTGATTAGATGTCCTTATAAAGTACTATTCAGTCCTGTGGCCAGTAAAACAATTAATTTCTATTGTCAAAATTAAATTTATTTAAACCTAATTTTACTATTGAACACCAGATAATTCACCCTGGTATTTAATTAGATAGCAGTCTTGCTTCCAGTTCTAGCAGCACAATTTGCTACTTGCTGTGAGAGTGCAAAATTACATGTACAGCTTTTGCATTGACAACTGCTTAGTGACCAGTACCTATCAGATGGCTTTGCAAACACAGCAAGACTACAGCAATCCCACTTAGAGTTCTGTCAATTCAAGCACAAGATATTTTGCCTTTTTTCTATATTATATTTCTTCCTTTTTCAATTATAGTGAAGGTTTTTAAAAATCTTAAAGTGGACTGCACAGGCACATTAAGCTGGATTCGCCTCTTACTAAAACAAGCATCAGGCTTCCTGCTGATTTTTAGGTAAGATAGATGAAGACATCAAGGCCACAAGCACCAAAAAGAGGAAAATCAAAGTTTTTAAAACATTACAAATCTGTGTTTGATGTCACTGGGGAATTTGTTCACTTCTTAAGAAATCGTTTTTTTTTGTTGTTGTTGTTATTTCAGTTTCTACTATGAGACTGGTCCCATGTGCAAATGTGTGTGTGTGCACACGTGTGTTGTATGTTTCACAGTGATTTTTCTTACATCTGTTTTTTGATGGTTGATCTTTTTAATTTTATTTTATTTTTCCAACAAAACATTGTTCTCTCTCTTTCATTTTTGTCTCTGCATTTAATTTGTCTTCTGGGTTGGGGGCCACTGCTGGCTGAAGATCTATCCTTCTTGTAACTGAGACACAGCTATTTCTGTTTCTTAGCTCCTGCTGTGCCAGAGGATTTATTTGTGTGTGGCTATTTGTTTCTGGGCATTGGATTAGACTACTGAAGGAACGGTTTGGGAGGTAAGGAATGCTGGGAACAGCTTTGTGTTCGCTCTGCTGAGCTCTAGTGCCTGGCTTCCAAAGTCCTCGTTCTACCTAGCTCTCAGATTTTCCAAATCTAGCTGTCAATGACATAGGACACCGCTATTTTATGAGAAGTCCTTGCTCTGCCCAGTTCTTGGTAATCTTTCAGACACTTCCTCTTGTGCGTCTGCCTCAATGCTACACTGAGCAAAGGGTGAAAGGTGTCTTCTGCAAAATTCGCTGATTTATTTCTAGTGTGTGAGGGCAGAATGGTCTTATAATGAACAACTCTATGAGTCTTAGCAAGCTCTTTGCTTTGTGTACACACACTCACAAGGGTCTTCAGCTGCTATAAACTCAAATGGTGCCAGAAAATGAATGGGGTTGTGAGTATTTGCACCAGGCAATGATCTGCCTCAAGTTGCTTCCAAGTATATGACAAAGAATTATGTTCATTGACAGTACAATGTATTCAAACTGAAATGGGTAGGCTTTCACTGAAAATAATAAAAAGTCAGGCCACAAATTAAGACTATTTGATGTGAAAAGCAGTCAGAAAAACTTCAAAAGCTGCTGCTTGGGACTATAAAATTATTTCACTATCCATACTGTCTGGAGGAAATAATAAGGTGTGAATTAAACTACCATAATAGACCACAAAGTGGGCCCAGCAAGAATAAAACTTGTGAGTATTGTAATGAACAATAATATATGCAAATTAAACATTCAGCCTCTCTCTGGCACAATAACTAAACATCATATGCCCACAGCCCCTGGAGGTAGGTAGTCCCTCTGAAAAGAAAGTAGATGAATAACACCTTCATGAAATAAAGACTGGTGGCACCATGACGTAGACTATATTCAGCAGAGAATTTCAGTGCTCTGGCACTCTTGGTAACGGAAACTAGAGTGTTGTTCCAAATGCTTAATAAAACCAGCTAGTATGATCAAGTGTAAAATCTAATGCCTACTTTCTACAGTTTTAAATCTTCTCTATTTGGAAAATGAACAGTATGATCTAGCAACATTTTTTCCTTCTTAAGGACAATGATCCTATGTCACTAGTGTTATATGAATACACTTCATATTACATAGTTTTGGCGTGTGTGTGTTTTTCTTTGGTTTTTGTTTTTCTTTCTTTTGTTTTTCCCCCAAAGAAAATTAACATTTGGATAGTTTTTTTGATGGTATTATCAACAGCGTTGCAAATGTATCAAGAGAACTGGAGTAAAGAATGACTATAAGATAAGGCATGCATAGCGTAGAAACTAAATTAAACAAAGCAGAAAAGATTACATATGGTTCTAAGTAATGTTATTCTTCTTCTTAATCCTCAAATAGAGTCACTAAATTACACTTCCAGATTTAGTTATGATATTTACAAATGACTTAACTGTACATTTAAAGAGGGGAAACTGGCTACAAATGGGGGCAAGCTCATAATTTAAGGTCACGGTGGTGCCAGCACAGAGCAAATGCTTATTACAGGGGTATTTTTGGTCATGGGGAATTCTCTTTCCCTAAGAACAAATCCCAGAAAAACATATTTTTATTACATCTTCCAAATCTGGCATTCAGACTTTATGTAAATATACAAGACAGAGGATCTTTCTTTTTAAAACGCTAGGAACTGAAGAGACAGCTGAAATTTGCTGGAGAATATTTCTTTTAAAATCATTTGTATGAGTAACCCAAAATCTAAAATATATTTTTTAAAAAATATGTAAAAAAAAAAAAAAGAACAGAAAAGCATTGTATGAAATACATGTCATCTTACTGGAGGCTATATAAAATCACATCTCTCTTCCTCTCCTAAACAAGTATAAAAACAAAAACAAACAAACAAAAAAAAAGTTCAAAACAAGGTTACCGGTTTTGTTTCCTTATAACTGAAAACAGAAGGTGCATTTTTTTAAGGCTGTATCATTTCTGAGTTCCTTTGACCAATTACTCTCAGAAATGCTTTCTCATCTTTTTATATTCACTGTTCTTTAGCTTCTTTTTTTTTTTTTTTTTCCCTCTAGAGTACCTTTCATCTAACATCTGTCTCCTTTTTCTTGGTAGACAACCTCAGTGCAAACCCAGACCTTGGAAGAAATGTAAAGAAATAGAGTCCCAAAAAACTCAGATGTAGTGCTATGACTTACAGAAAATTAAACAGAGTTAATTTTGGCAGGAGCTAAATAAAGGCTATGTCATACAGTGAGCTGAGTTGAGCAACACTCATGATGATTTCAGAGAGCAACTGAGTCCTGATAACTCAGGTTAGTTTAAAGCAGACTTTATTGTAGCAAAAAAAATGTGAGTAAAGAAAGAAAAAGGGCAGCAGCAACTGTTGCTGGTGCTGTTAGACTCTGCCAGTATGAATTACTGTGATTTGAAGTTACCCAGTTTTCAGGGATCGCTCCACAACATAAACTTTGCTGAAGGGGGGTTGGCTATCACCATCCACAGGAAATTATGTTCTTATAATAATATACCCACACATTATGGCACCTGAAATCATACCCAAACACATCCTTGCAGTTCGGTTTTTAGGATTTTTAAGGTTTTTAAGACTTCATACATGTCAGTAAGGGCATTCTTATATATCATCTTGCATTCATTCCCCCCTTTGGGGAAAAAAAGAAAAAAGAGAAAAAAAAAAAAAGAAGTGTCTTGTGCTTCTGATTCATTTTTCATGATTCTTATCATCAGGCAGCTTAAAGGCAAAAAAGTTTCATCCCAATGAAGAAACAGTGAAATACTTAAGGATAAAGTTGGAAACAAGTCCCATGGAGAACACAGAAAACAGTCTCCTCCCCTGTCATTAGGATTTCCCCCGGCACCCAGCTGTGCAAGCTGCAAGCACACTTCAGCAAAAGCTCACTTCCTGAGTGTTGCTTTCCAGTCTCATCCTCCAAAACTACCTCAGTATGCTCAGCCTGTCTCAGAAACCCTGCTCTGAACCTCCTCCCTCCTCCTTTTCCAGAATGAAAAAAAAAAAAAAAAAAAAAGACAAACAAACCTCTCTTCTCCCTCCTTGTCTTTTCACTCAGAACAACACACTACCACCTTTTTTTTCCTTTTTTTTTTTTTTTAAGCTATTAATCTATCAGCTATGCTTGTGATGATCCCCTGGTCTCACCTCCTGCACCTATACACAAAACCCAACCATTCTAAACATAATCCTCCACTATGCATGGATTTTGGGTGACACCACCTTAATTATATTCCTTTTTTCATTCCTTTTAGAATTTATAGAAACTTCTGCAAATTACACTTTTGAAAATGCCATAATATCTTCCAAAATCTCATAGCATGAGTATTCCTCACTTTCTTTCACTTGCTTCTGGGCCTCCCATAAAAGACAGCTCATGACAGATCAATGGCAGAGATCTGGCACTTGTCTGTAATGTTTTCACAGCTCTCCCTCCAGGCTGGGTTACTGCTGGTTGCTCACACCTCGCCCAGATCTGCAGGTTGGGATGAGAGGTCAGAGCATTTCTTGCCTCCCACCCCTGTTTCTGCTACCAAAGTGAGAAACACAGTGCCCCAGCTACCACACCACAGTTCGTGGCTCTCTGAGTGCTGCAGACTTTTACCACCAGGCCAACAGATAAAGGTTTTAGCAGGTAGGCAAACATTCTGCTTTAATGCCCCAAATCTAATAAACAGAAGCTTTTTTTCTCTCTGTTCCACAGAAGATGCTATTCTCGTTCAGCTAATTACAACATAATGAAATCAGAAACAGAGGGATGAAAAGCTTCCCCTGGTGTTTAGGGCTGACCTCAAAATCACCTTCAAGCCCAGATCTCCCAAATATTTATTAAATAACCCCACAGTCTGCCCAGACACCCTCACCAGCCACAACAGCAGCTTGGCTGAATGTTATGAGGGCGTAAGGAGGAGCCCTCTCCACCCCTTTCTGGGTCTGGAGCATCGCCTGCCCCATAGCAATCATGAGGTCCCCCATTCTTTACTTTTGAATCCTTCCCCTCCCTTCCCTACGACACATAAAAAGAGGAGAGACCCTGTGTACAGTGCAATCACTAGAAGAGATCTGAAAAAGACGTTTCACAGCTAAGAACAATATTTGTTCAAAATTGTGCTGCATAGCACAACACAGCAGAGGGAGGGATAGTTAATTCATGTTTCAGGCTGGTTGAGGGTGTAGAACTAGCACTAAAAATCATTCTGAAAAATGGGTGAGATAAAAAGTTATAACAGTGGGTTCCCCCATGCTACCGTTTTAGACTGAAGATGTGGAGGTCTGGGATTCTCCTTAGTTAACATATTCGTATTTATTGAAAAAATGAGTCACTAAATAAACTACGCCAACCAAAAGCCGAGGTGTTTCTGGAATTGCATCATTTCTATGAAGAAGCTCACAGCCTCAAAGTAGAAACCTAAAAGGCCACTCTCCAGGTCTGTGTGCACATTTCAGTTTCTGGTGGCTTTGCTCAGGAGGAAATTTCTCTATTCATGACCTTCTGACTCCCAACCAGAAGTGATTCACTGAGCTCATTGCATTACAGGGCTGCTGCTTAGAGCAAAGAACTGAGGCTTGAGGTCTTTCCCAGAGACATCGCATGACCCTGGGCAATTCCCTTCAAGACTATTTGAAGATCTGATATTTAACAGCAACGTCCACATTTAATAAACTCAATAAGACCCTTTTATGCTAGCAGCTGGTGGTCATCCCAACCTTCCAATGAGAATCTGAAGACCTTTTTAATGAAGCGTGTTGGAGACACAAGCCTGATTAAGCTTAAAAATAAATAAATAAATAAATAAATAAATATAAAAAATAATTTAAAAAGCACACCTAGTGAGGTGCCTATATAACTTTTCAAGTGTCCAAATTCAGAATTTTGAGTTGTTTGTTTTTTTTTTTCTTACTGTTCTGCTGTTTAATTCCATAACATGGTAAAATTACATTTACCCATCAGACGCAACTTTTTATGGTTGACTTCATTATTTGGAAACATCTAAAAGTTTCAGCTGAAAAGTCCCACCTGGGCTTGCAGCTCTGTATTAATTACAGCTATTAAAACACATATTTTACTTATGAATTTCAGAGTGTAGTGTTTTCTACAAACAGCTTTCACAAGCCACTAGCAGTCACAGTGAACTATGCAGGAAGAAGAAATAGAAATTGTATAAATGATGGGGGAAAGAGAGGTTGAAAAGAGAGGTTTAAGAAGGGAATTCATATTGCTGAAAAACAAACCTATGCAGAAACCTCACAGAAACCTTAACAATTTAGTCTCAGTTAGACAATCCTCAGCATACCTATCATGTAGGTAGAAAAAGCTGACCTACCTCCTATGGTCCTCACACCATTTTATAGTCTGTATTTTATAATAATTACTTTAATTAGGAAGCACACTGAATGTAGGCAATGATTCAGCAGCACAGTTCCTTAGCTATTAGTTCCTGAGCTGCTTAGTTTTATAAACAGGGAAGTTACAATATCTTCAAGATTATGAGTCCCACTTCTACGCCAACATTCCTGCTGCTATCACTTTTTAAGGATGCTCATGGCAAAGCTAATACAAACTGAAATGAAATTACAGACTACCAGAAGAAAAAAAAAAAAAGAAATGCACACGTCACTTTTGAGGAAACTACAGCAATCAAAGTCATGTCATGGATGGTTGCAACCCAGAAAGAGTTTCACTCTAAATAATATACTTAATGCATTTCAATCTCTTAATTTCTGTTAATTCACACTGGAATTTTTTCCTCCTCTCACATCTTATTATGTGTCTGATTACATTTGGGAGGTTCTTTGCCTCAATTTATCATACCAAAAATTTGTGTCAACAACTTGCTATGCTGTTTCTACCCATGAAATAGCTCCATGTCTTTTGTTTGTTTGTTTGTTTTTGTCTCAGCAAATGTCCTGTAAAATCCTGCACACAGTTAGAAAGTAACACAAAATCCAATGAGAGAAGATCCATATTACTCTAACAGTAGTTATATTACATTCATGCTAAACCAGTTTTCCTTATTTTCCCTTTTTTTTGTGTTTAATGCTAGTGTTCTGAACTGCACTGTCAACAAAGTACATCTTTTCCAATGAGAAAAAATATTAATTTTCATGTGACCAAAACTAATGAATATTTACACAAACAGTTTTTAGAACTTGGTTCCTTCTCCTTGATGTAACCTTGAGTCTGAATTTCCATGGTTTATATTATTCAGTTTGGTTATAGCATCCCTGTAATTTCTTTCCTGTTTAGTACTTTACATATGCTTTCAGAATTAATCCCATCTTAGAAAAGTTTTTTGTCTTAGAAAATGCGTAAATAAATCACTGTATTCTTAGATAATGGAAATTGTCAGTGATTAAATTCAATTTGATAGGGTATGTGTGAAATTTCTCTGACTAGTTATCAACAGTATCTTGATTTTAGGTTTGGCTTCATCTTTATATCTCCTATATTTACAGCTGCCTGTACTTTCCTTCTGCAGTTCTCCATATTTCATTTTGCAGATTGTTTTCTGCAGGCTCATGAATATATGGGTATTTGGCAGTGATTTTATAACCTATAATCAGAACTGAAAATTATAGTGATCCCATTTGTGTTATTATAGCTTAAGAATGTGTCAGACTTTCCATTTTAAACTTTTTTACTGTAAAGAATCTACAACTGGTCTTTCTCCACTGCCAAATATTTCTGCAAAATTTTCAATAAGAATAAATGTTATTTATGAATTTGAAACTTTTTTCAGGACTTCTGGCAGTGAGTGTGAGGAGATAGCTTCTACTGAAATTCAAAGAAAAAAAATATCTAATTTCCTGCCTCTTTATTCAGCGACCATATTTTAGCCAAAGAAAGTTAGATGGGTCTCTTTTTAAGGACCTGTAGCATTAATGCAGTAGTGGACAGAGGGATTACTTGAGAATGACTGGAATTATTTCCTTCCACTGGAAACATAATACGCTCCTTCAACATAGTGCCAAGATTTTTCTGCCAGAGGAACAAGAGAACGGATAAGAGCATCAGCCCCAGCTCTCAGCTGCAATCTCAGATCATGAACTGCATATTCTTATTTATTTTTAAACATACATCCAAAATATTTCAGGTCTCTGATAAGACCTTCACATACCCCAAATCATCCTCTAGGTAGGGAGACAGCAGACTTAAAACTCAGGAGAAGGTGATGGGAGTGGAGACCTGAAATGAAATCAAGATGAGACGGGAGTAGAGACCTGAAATGAAATCAAGATGAGACTGGACAGGAGAAACTCTTGCACCAGCTGATCCCCTGATGTTTTCCACTAATCTGACCTCAAGCTAGGATCATCTCTCCATGGCCCATTACAATATCTCTTAAATGCTGCAGGCAACGTCCTACCTTCTCTTCTCTTTTTGACTTCAGCAGGGGGGGAAAATGTACAAACATTGCAAAATTTGGCCCTCCAATTTCTTAAACCTATCGGAGAAATGACAGATGGTGCACAAATATCCATTCCAGTCAACTGGGTGACCACTTGCACCTCTCACCTCATCACTTGCATTTTAGCTCTTCTTAACTTTCCAGACCTTTGTTCTGCTTGAGGTAGCAAACTCTTAATTTCCTTTACGTTTCAGATGCTTTTTCTACCACCAGCTCCTGTGGGACCTCGGACAAACAGCATAACACATTTTTCCAGGGAAAATCTCCAGAACTGTGAGACAGGTCAATGTATTCTGGGTTGGTGAGCTCATCCCTGAACACTTTGATCCTGACCAAATCTAGGCTCCTGCTGAGCAGTGGCTTTGAGGATATCAGAGGTGGATCTCAAACATGGAGAGACAACTGGCTGTCAAAAACCTTTGCTGTGTCTTCACTATCCCTATTTACAAATGGGAGATTGAGACAATTTTACTGTAAGACCTCCAAAGCTATGCAAAATGATTTAAGTACTGTAGAAAGAGAGATTTCCAGCTTCATTCTGGTGATGCAGACCTCTTAGATCTATAAACAAATCAGGACTCTTGTGAGAATAGTCCTGGTTCTGAGGTTTTCTGTACTTTCATTTCCACTAATGTATGGAAATCCTACAAAACAGGATTTTGTCTCCTGGTATTTGGACATGTCCGGTTTGAGTCCTGAGTGAGTGAGATTTCTTGCTGAGCTGGGTTTTTTGGCAGTTAATTTGCATAAAATGTTGAGGATTAGAAAAACTCAGCTCTTGACCTTCTTAGCTCATGTATTTTATATGTTTTTAAAAGGAAATTGCAATTATGAAGGTTATGAGATGTCATATGCCAGTTTTTCACTACAAGCTATGTCCTGCAGTCAGTATTTCCATTCACTCTCATTGACCATAATCAAAGGCAATGAGCAGAAACGCTGGAAGCGTAGTCTCACCTTATGTGGATCTTCTCCAAACCTCAATATGGCATTTCTGACGTGAACACATATGGAACATCTATTGCCTTTGAACTAAAACCAACAGTGAGAGGTTCTTCAGAAATGCAGACGTCAAAGCTGCCAGCAATGTGAATGAGAGTTGGAGGTAGATTGAGAAAACTTTGTCACTGCTTTCCCCTATGTTCCCGGGTGATTCCCTGGCTGTTGAGTTACACCCTCAGTGCCAAAGGTGGGTGGCAGAGATTAGAAGCAACCTTAAATATTTACATAGAAATTTTTGGACAAAACAAAACAAAACAAAAACTGTCCCAAGGGGCACTGCCCTGCAAATCTTATTTCATACAGTCCTTCTGATGTCATTGGGTGAGCTCAAGTTGCCAAACACTCATCCATACAGATAAAGGGCTGGCTCTGGATGTTCAACAGGAGGTAAGCAACTCTTCAGGCAAGGAAACAGGCTCAGTGGTGGACTGGCACCACAACACGTGTTGCTGAAAGCTAGCTGGCAAAAAGAGCCATGGAGAAACTTGCCTGAGGTTGGGAAAGAAGTCTCTATCCCAACAAAGTCAGCCGGGGCTCCCTGAGTTCTCAGTGTATTGCATTCATTCAGTGAGCTGAACACCTTGAGCCCAGCACACAGACACGATGGCTCGACATTGACAGCATTATTTTCCCTCCCCGGGCAAAGAACATACTCCTGAATAAAGCCTTGTAGTCACAGGAGTCACTTTTGCCTGCAAACTTTACATTGGAAACCCTTGTGAATGTGACCCAATCTAAATAGAGGGAGCTCATAAGCTTTTGGGGATAGCATATTCCATATTCCATATTTTCCCTGCAGTTTATTGGCAAATTAATTCTAATGCATTCAAATTACATCATGAAGTGTAATGTAGAAATATTTCATGAAGGTTACCTTAATAGAGTGTGAAAGCCTGATGAACAGTAATTCAGAGGGAACTGCTTGGCCCATCTCCTATTTACTTGGAAATATTACTGCCTTAAAAAAAAAAAAAAAAATCAAAAAATTATATATTACTTGTTTTTATAGCTCAAAAATCTTTAATGTGAAGATTTTTATGACTCCCTTACAATACACATCGATTTAAAAAATGTTTTAAACTAAAACAGATCATTTACTGCCAACTGTGCTTTGGGCATATCATTGATTAGTCCAAGTGTGATAAAACAACCTTGTTTTTATTCATACTTTAAGAGAATAATAAAACCTGCATACTTGGAAATACTGAAGCAATATCTTGGCCCAGAGCTATTTAAGTATGAATTATTCACGTCTAGTTTATTTTTTTCTTTTAAATTCATGAATCCCAGAATGGTTTTGTAAAGTGTATCAGTGAAACCATGTTTCTAATTATTAAGGGGGGGGGGGGGGGGAGGGAGGAGAGGGAGGGCAGGAGAAGCAGAATGCATCATATATGTAAAGGGGTCATTTTCTATTTGTCTTCTTTTGCAAGCCACTGTGAATCTCTTTGGAAATTAGTTATTCAAAATTTGCACTATATTTTAACTTGTGGCCCATTGAGGGAGAAGACAGATGCAGTTCCTTTGTTCAAATATTTTTTTGCAAACAAACTTATTTTTACATCCTGTAACACTAGAACTGCCAAAATATACCCATTTAGGGACTGCACAGACAATTAACTGGGAGCCCTTTGCCCAGAACTGGTTTTTGCATCTTCAGCAGAAAAGGTTCATGTAACGGTGATAGGGTGTCTATCTGGATATTACACTCCTGTGAGCAGGACTTTTTCCTCCACTACTGCAAAATGTCATCGACAGAAATATCTTTTTTTAAAGTGAAGAAACCAAAACATTAATCCTACTTTTGCAATCCTTCCATCCTGTGTAACCTAACAATGCTTTCTGTGTACACCATGGTCTGAACAGAGACAGTGGAAAGAATGAGACCAAGATAATTCTTTAACTTGTTCCACCACTGAATTTCTGTAGGACCTCAGCAAATCACTTCACCTCAGTGCACCTCCAGTTCCCTCCACATACACAAGGCTTTGCTTCATTTGTAGCATGAACTCTTCAAGGACAGACAACAATTTTTGACATATTTTTTTAGTACTCACTGTAACCCTGTATTTGGTAAACACCAAATTAATACCGATTTTTTTCTTATACAGTCATAGAATTATGTGTTTTGGAAGAGACCCTACAGGTCATTTAGCCCAACCACCAGTTCAGAGTAGGTCCCAATAAATCAGCCTACAGAGGGACTTGAGTTTTGTGTATCTCCACAGATGGAGTTTAAAAAACCCCACTGAGTCCCAGATCCAGAGCAATTAACCTCCTGGGGAAAATTCTTCTCCTTGTATCTAATCAGAATTTCCTGTTTTAACTTTTGTCGTTTGTCTCAGACCTCCAAGAAGACTCTGGCTTTGTCCTCTCTATATTCTTAATGTTACTGGACACAGCACCCTTTGCCTTTTCTGTTTCTACTTGTACTTCATGTTCTTCTGTTCTCTTACTATCCCAGGGACTCCCCACTCACTCTGTTAATGTCATTGCCTTTCTCATGTTGGGAAACCCAAAAATGAACACAATATTCAAGATTTGACATTAAAAATAAATCAATGGTCTCAAAATCTCCTAAAGTTTTACTTGTAGGTTTTCCTCTCCTTAAGGGTATTTGTCATAAGTAGCCCCTACCTCAGTACAAATGCTGTAACAGTATGCCAAGAATGATGCTGTGCATATGTGTCTACCATACCCATAAATAAACTCCTAAGAATACAGCAACTCCTCAACAGTAAGATAGATGAAACATAATAATTAAGGCTTTTTGGGAGAAGGGAAAAGCTGCAGGTATCAAACAATGGTTTTATATGCAGCTTCTTGTTTCTGCCAACTTGAAAAAAACATCTCTAGACAGCCATAGCAGATAAAATGCTCCTGAAGGCTGGTAACCCAAAATTAAGGGGAGTTGACAGATACTCAGAAAAGAAATATTTTTTCTTTAACCACAGAGTGCTATCATGTGCCATCCAGACTTACAAATAATAACAGTTCAGACAAAAATATAACATGGAATGGCACTAGCAGACTGTGTGGAGCCACAAAGGGATCTATGCTGAGATTTGCAACACTTAGACTTCTCCCTAGGACTTATAAATTTATTTAAATGTTTCTCACTGAACACACCTAGGATTTAAGTCTTAAGATTTAAGGTTTAAGAAAACTATCGAGCAACTCAGCACTGAACTTGCAGCCAAAAGATCTGCAAAGTAGGCAATCCCTTAACTTCACTTCAGGGCCACATGTGGTAGTACTCTGCAGATGTATGTGCCACACTAGGCTTTGCACAATATTAACCTGGGGGAATGGTGCCATTTCCCACTTTTACTCAACAGTCAGGTGGGTTAGAGGACTTGTCTGAACTGGAGGGAGTCCAGATTTAAGGTAAGCACTTTTCACTGCATGGCTGTCTTTGTAAATTAAGACAAATCTTTTGTGCATGGCCACATGTAAATGTTTAGAGGTCTGTGATATTTTCTGAATGAAAGTTGGGTACTGCAGAATTACCAAGTGAGAGCAAATTGGGTCTTTAAGAGTAGAAGGGATTAGAAGCTTTGGAGCATAAATTCTCTTGTGAATCTAGTACCAGGTGCTAATATTTAGGTAAACATTACCATCCTGAATACAGAAATGAGATATTAAAAATATAAAATATAAAAAATAATTTAAAAAAAATAGTTTGAAATATTCCTAGCTCCTGGTTCAACTCACCAAAATCTATCAACCAAAAATTCTACATAGGTATAGCCCCACCCCCAGTGATGGGACTTCTCTGCAGTTAAAGTTAAACCATACCATGTGTGTGAATATTTGCACTAGGGGAGTCAAAAAAACAGAGGTATTTTCACCTTATAGATATTTTCCTAGTTTTATTTAGCTTATGAAACATTAATTGCTGGAATCAGAAAGCAAAATTATTTTAAACTGATGGACATGATGAAAAGCAATGCCTTTGTGTATTAGCCTGATATGTCTGTTGGAGAGCGATTTGACATCAACAGCAACTTCATACGTTTAGTAAAGTTTGCACAGCCAATTTTCAGTTTATAAAGCGTGGCATTGTTCTGGAGTATACCCTGACGTGGAAGGGTATTATGAAGAATGCACAAGGTAGTACTGACTTTATGAAGTCCACTTTGAAGACAAGTATCAAATTAAAAATAAAAAGTGAGCACAGTCTTTGATATGTGACTTGGAAACTCATGCCGATTTGCTCCCTGAAAGCAGCCATTTCAATGATGCCATGGGGTTTCACTCAAATCACAAGACTTGAGCCTATTTTACTAGATCGTGAGATTATTTTAATAATAAGGTGTTCAGAACACTAAGCAAATTCTAATTCCATCAGAAAACAATTAAAGAAACTGGAAAATGGCATGACAGGTAAGTTCAGATACAAAATACTAGAGAAATTTCATCCACATAGTCATGTGCACTCACTCAGTACAGATCTTTGCATAATAAGCTGTAGGATATGAACCAGCTAGAAAAAAGAAAAAAGTGGAAAAACTGTTCTGTGAGTTTCTCCTGCAGACCTCCCTCCTCTGACACAAATGATAAATTTCTCTTGAAAACCAGCCACTCATTATGGGAAAACTGATTATTTGCAGAAGGAAGGTTAATATGGCACAGCAGAGGAAACCTATCCCAGGTGTAAGCACTGATTAGATTAAAGCCATGGAACTTCTAGGTCTTCCTCTTATTCCTAAATTTAATTCTTTATAACAACACAAGTTCATATGGACAGGAGAAGCAGAACAGAGAAAAACAGGGTGTGTGAAGATCCCACCTTATATCAGCCAAGATCCTCCCAGTTGCTCCCAGAGGTGGTAAGAGGTAGGTCTTTAAAACCTAGAGAATGAAGAATTGAACTTGGGTGTTTCACTTCCCAGTCAAGTTCTCTTGACCCCAAGCTGTCATGTAATACTAGAAAAAAAAAAAAAAAAAAAAAAAAAAGCTTCTGAATGAACACGTTTTAAAGCTAAGTATTCTGATGTTTGAATGCCAATTTATCTTTGTAAGAACTGAGCCTATTGTTGAGATGGGCATCTTGTAAGAAGCATTCCCGGTGAGACAAGTAACAACCACAAAAGAACTGAAATATCCAAAAATCTTAGACAATCAGTCTATCTTCAGGTCCTGGAGAACGCAAGAAGACAACTTCACTGCAGCCATAAACAAGGCATCTGGAGAGGTGAGATTCAAGGTGTGACCTTTCTCTGAGCATTTGTTCTCAACTCTCAGCTTGCCTTGTCAGCTTTTGCTGGGGCCACTATGGGGTATCCAAATCCCCACAGATTGCTACTCTAAAGGGAAATGAAATAGCTGAACATGACTTCTGCTGTCCATGGGCAAGGAGGCTGAGTACTTAAGAGTGACCTCTCATGCTTAAATGTTAGACATATACATTTCTTCCTAATGCTTTGAACTCTTTTGGTCAGTAGTGCCTGATTCTCATGTCTTCACACACACTGGTTCTGAATGGTTGTGCTCTAATTTTCAAACTAGGCAAAATTCCCTGTATCAAAAAGAAACCCTGCTTAATGAAGGGCTACAGAGCTTTTATAAAAGTCAAGTGAATAAGACTAGTTATTGGCTCTTCCTCCTCACACCCTCATGATCTGTTATGCAAATCAAAGTTTAAGTTTTTGACTTTCCTCAAAAACATTATAAATGCTTTTATATCTCATTGTAAATAGTATTTATATTGGTTTTGTCTTACACTGCAGATAGAGAATGAAACTTCCTTTTTTTTTTTTTTTTTCCAATTTCTCAATGCATGGATTGCTTGCATAATATAGAAAACAGCTGTTTTATTAAAAAACAGGCACACAAAAATTAACAGCTCTAAACATCGTATGGATTTTTTTCCTTCTTATCAAGCTATTGATTAGATTAACATAATTCACTTTTGAGAAGAGGACAACTTACCATTTGGATCCATATTTTGATTAATTATTCCATAAAACCTCTTAGTTTATAAATTGGTCGTTTCAGAATTCTAGTTTTAATGATCTGGCACTGAAAAACTTAGCAGGTTTTGGGTTACTCTGTTGTGGACACTGGAAAGGATCATTTTGTTTTCAATTTTAAAATGATTAAAGTATAGCATTACAATGTAGACAACACTGTCTTTCTACCTACCAAATCTATGAGCTAAGATGATTGATTTTATCAAGTGTAAATCGGTATGAAATTGATTTAATGACCTGGCAAATTCTGTCATTCAGCTGGAGAGGGAAAAAAATGTGCAACGTTTCAACAGCTGCTTCATTGTTTGTCCATTACTTAACAAATAAAATACAGCAGTTTGTGTATGACAAGGCAATGTACAGATATTGTTTTAGAGCATCATTATGAGTCTGGTAAATAGGTTTAGACTAGGAATATAAAAACAAACTGTAATTTTCTGTAGTGGTGTTTAAAGGGCTTATGATTGGCAGCATAACTGATTATATTGACCAAAAGAGCTGTGGACATCTGGCTTTCTAGACCTACAGATGAAAGACCATATGTTATAAAAAAAAAAAAAAAAAAATACAGTGTGAGAGGGGAAGAAAATGGTAGTAGGCTCAATACATGAACAGGGGTCAAAGCTAGCAGCAATCCAGTCTTGTCAACCACTGTTACTCCAACAAGGGGTGAATTCTATAGGGCTGTTGGGCAATGGAGAAATGTTGTTGACTTGTTGACAAACACACAGTTGGGCTAACAACTGAATACCTCTGAAAGTCTCAGGGATCTCTTTGCTTCACTTTCCCTAATGATGATACAAATAACAGACTACATTAGAAATGCCTGCAGTTTACCCAAAACATCTCATGTCTGTTCCATCAGCTGTTTCACCAAGCTTCAACTGTGTATAGTGTAACTGCTTAAGATCAAATTAGGGCATACTATAATTTTCAACATATATCCCAGTTTTCCCATGCTTACAGTTCTGGAAACAATGCATCTATTCAAATTCATTGCATGTGAATTACGAAGGGACTGAAGGGCTCCATTCACTCATAATTTAATGTTTGATGCCCTCTTTTCAAATTCTTGTGTCAAAGTTAGGGTCACAAGTTTAAAATGAGTTGCTTGTGCTGTTCCCTATTAGAGTTCACAAAAAGATACATTAATTTTATAGGCTTAGCTTCTGGTATGAGCTATTAAAACAGCAATGCCTTTACTGGTTTAGGGAAAAAAATGTTATTCCTAAAGGTAAAATAGGACATGATGTTACTTTACATATCACCAAGTGCTACATACTGGCATATCTTTCACTTTTGTCTTTTTGATAAATGAAAAAGTGCGTATTGTAAACAGCGTAAGAAAGCTCTGTTTGAGAAATGAGGGGGGAACAGATTAGAGATATTTACTCTTCTCGAAGTCAGTGTAATACATTTCAGAAAGTAAATAAACAAAATTCACACCAAGTTGGCTGGCATTTTGAAAGGTGCTAACTCAGCATACTACTGCAAGTTTCTGCTGAATTGAGCACTTTTTATTCTTGAAACAAACATCTGTGATTCAGTGTGATAGATTTTAATATAGTTAGACAATACAAGTAGATGTGTTTTAGAGAAAAACATCAGTATGAGTGAATGGTTCTTGCAAGCTCCACAATACCAACTTTTAAATTATATTGAATAATAGATTTCACTGCAGATTGCTCCTATCTACTAAGAATCTTTTGTATTATTGAGTGAAGTCAACAGAGCAGATAAAAGGGTATTTTTCACCAAAACATGATTTCAACTGTTTTAAATCAGAATTTTATGTAGTATACTAAACTACAGCATTTGTATATGTCAGTGCTTTCAGGTGACTTAATGCAGTGATATAAAAAGTGCCAAAGCGCACTAAAAATTGCAGAATTCACTTCTAATATTGTTTGTTTTCATATTCTCACTAGGTTAACTTACTTAAATCAATTCTAAACAAGAGCAAAAAGGAGAAAAAAAAAAAAAGTAAACTCATTCCAGGAATAGGAAGAGAATGTTCTCCCTCATCTCCCAAGACAATAAGCAAATATGACCCCAAGTATGAAGCAGCTTCATTTTTTACTTGGATCTTTAAAACCAAAGGCCAGCTATAAATATTTTCTTAATCAATCTAAAATCCCAAACACCAGCTAGGACATGGCCTATTCCATTTCTTCCCACAGCTTTCATTAAGGTTTTTACACAATACAGCCTCCAAATGAGCCAACTGCTTTGATTTCAAGGAGCACAGGCTGTAAACAGTGTACAGTTACTCTTTGCAAACCCACCTCTAGCATCCTCAAGGAAGCGTGAAAGTTCTCTAGATACTTGCAAAAGACAATTGCACAACACTTTATGTTCAGTAATAATTTTGTTATTGGGTTCAGATGATAAAGTGGATACAGATGTTCATTATCAAGACAAGCATTTGTAAACAAGGAAGGAATCCAAGAAGCTGCTAACGACTGAAAAGTCCAAGGCTGACCATCATATTTTGCCGAGTCACAGATGTCTATCTTTAAACCTAAAAAATAAATCTGCCCTCTCTACAATCAGTAGGAGTACAAACTGGATTTTTGTCATCATACCCACCCTTAAAGCATAAAGGCCATTTTACACATGGCATATTTAAACCTCATTGGCCTAAATGTGCGGAAAAGCCTGCCAATTTCCAGCTGACCAGGACTTGCTCCTGCAAATCTTTCCCTGTGGTCTCCCTGCCACACCTTTCCCCCAGAAGCTCCACTGGCTGTGAGGTAGAGACTCGTAGCCTGGTTTTGCTGATCTTAATTCTGGTGACAATAGGTAATAAAACAGACCCCTCCTGGGGCCTTTTCCAGGGGTATTTTCTCTCCCAGTTTCCCAATGAAGGAGAAAAACACAAAGAAGATCAACTGCAGGGAGTCTCAGCTTCTGCTCATCACGTCAAACATCCCAGACTCTATCCTCATCCTCTGGAGGGAATCATTCACATGCAGATTAACCAAAAGGATTATCACACAACTGGATTATCCACACAGACAGGACAGCTCAGTCAAGTAGTAAAACGACACCTTTATGTGTTTCCTGCCTTTTAACCTCTAGGTTTCTGGACTCCTGGTACTCATCCCTTTAAGCACCACCATATTTCAGGAGCTGCTGAATACACAATGGAAGAAGATTCGTCGGTGGCTGATCTGGCATGTCTGAGTCATTTCTCATCAGCCACAAGATGTCAGTGTTGCTGAATGTTATTATTCTCACCTGCAAAGAAGCATCTCTATATGTTGCTCAAGGTGGCTGTCGACATTAGGCTTTGCGCAGCAAGCTTAACAAAATAACTGAGAAATAACACACGGTCAAGGAAAATAAAAAGCTGCATAACAAAATGAAGTGTATTATTAATGAACTGTAAGAAGTAAAACTTGAAGTACGTGGGTATTGCTGCCACCTTCTAAAGTGAAAATCCCTGTATCTTTTCACAAGTCCCAAAGCAGCTCATGAAAATGTTGAGCTTGGCAGATGGCTCTTGCATAACGACATCACTTTGAATGGAGCAACTGGAGATGACACCAGAGCTGTTTCATCAGGAAGAAATTAGTCCATCCAACCAGAAATGAGGCTGTCCAGGAACTCTGGCTCTACCAACTCTCACTAAATATGATAAATGAAATCAAAGAACGTGCTAATGGACTGTCTTCCCTTTTTTATTCCTAGTATATCAGGCTTTGGCAGAAAGCTCTGCCCATGTAGGTCCACCGTGGAGTCCTTTCTGTGTCCAGACTTATTTCTTCTCAGTATCACTTCCCCAGTTGTATCAGTACATGTTTTTGCAAGGTCAAACTACAAATCAGATGATTGGACTATGTGGTTTTAAAACACTCTTTCCTTTTCCCAAGCCTTACTAAAAGTCCAAGGTCAGGCAGAGGGGGAACTTCTGAAGTGATATTGTTGTGGACTTGGAGTATTGTGAAACTGCACCTCGGATTTCCTCTGCAGACTGAATGACCTGCCTGTTGATTATTTTTCTGCTTCCTTCTTGGTTGCAGGAGATTTGCTTCACCAGCCACTGACTTGACTTCCACTTCTAAGTATAGCAAAGCACTGGTACTATTAGCATGAGAATTCCTGTTTACATTATTTGCTTCCATTCATGTCCTCTGAGCTTGTTTACTTTCAAAACCACAGGAAGCAGGAATTTGGTGGGAGTAGAGACAGAACTGTTTAGCATGGAAAAAAATAATTAAAAAAAAAAATGAATAGAGATGGATGAATTTATACACACATGTAGTTATAAAAATATACAATGGAAACATGGTTATTTGGGTTGGGAAGTTAAGTAGACAGTTCAATACATTTCATCCATCTATAACTTCATTTAGAAAATATGAATATGTTTCCTAATGTCAAATCCAAGTAGTTCCATTAAAGGAGATATATTGAAGGGAGGGAAATATTTTTACATGATTCTTGCAACCTTCCATACCCCTCCATTTTTCCACAAAACACAATGCATTCTTTGAAAAATGCTACAAAGCAACAACAATAAACTTCAGGGAAAGTCCTTCCTGCTTCCAAATTTTCCACTTGTGCTGAACTTCTAAACTAAGAAAATCCATTCCCCATTTAGCAAAAATTGTTCTCAGTAAAGGCAACTTCTGATGGGTCCTCCCTGTTCCATTAAGCAGTCTGTTTGTAGCAAAATCCTATTTTTAACTCTGCCTCATCTTTGCATTATGTTGAAAGCACCATCTTCTCTGCCTGGGCTGAGGTTCTGTTTGCTGGCCTCATCCTGCCTCCCCTGCTAGCACCAGCAGGCCCAGGCATGCCAATATTCACAGGTCTGCAGTAGTTGGCATGCCCAGGCACTGTGCACACGCGCAGGCTGACTCCGCACTGCGTGCACAGTGACCATTTGTCTGAGCTTTCCAGCTGCCTGGAAATCTGGTAGATTAATGCCCAAAGTGGTAGAGTTGGCAGGAGCACAGTGGAGAGATTCTCAGAAAAGCCTGACAGTTTCTGTTGAAGTAGCTAGCCTCAATAAAAAGTTGCATTTTCCAGGGTCGTCTCAGGATGAGGATGACTTTGATTTTTTAATATTTTTTTTCCTGGGGTCCCACTCAGTTAAGGATATTTTCACACAAATTCTAAAATTTCCAAGCTATTTACCAAAACTACATAGGCTTGCTGAGCAAACTACAAACCCTTGGGGAGACGGATGTTAGTTTTTAATACAATTCCTGGAAAAAATTAAAGAGGTGACTGAAGCAGGGTTATTCGATCCAACTCATACGTATACAGTGGGCTAACTTAGCTAAACAAATTATTGTGCTTCAAATAACTAGAGCAGTCTAAGAGGTAAAGGTTGGGACGGAATGGGAAAAGATTTCATCAGCCCAAAATTAATAGAGACAGGGATGGAAATACAAGACTTAAAAACCAGAGAGCAAGAGGAGTATCTAATTTCAGGTACTCCAGTGTAAGGGTGAAACAGCTTCATTTATGTGCTTTCTGGCTGAAGTGAGCTCTGGCACCAGAGCCCTGCCCTAAGGGTATGGCTTTTTCACCTGCTTTTTTGCCTTCCACCCCCCTGACTAGTCAGGGATTTTACTGGTGGGAGGTAGGATGAGGAACAGTCCTATGGCACTTTTTAGATATATTTTATTTTTTTTGAGTGGGGACTCAGGGAAAGAAAAATGCAGTTCTTATTTTAAATTATAAAAGGGCAAACTTCAACTGTATTGCTTAATTTAGTTTCACATGCAATAACCTTTCAAATGGTGCTTGAAAGTCAAGTCAAATTTCAATATAAATGATATTGCCAGGTTAACAGTAACGTATGAGACACTGCCCTTTATGTTTCGCTATCATCCCTTTGAATGTGTTGAACAGTAATTTTAATAGAATCATAAAAATCTTCAATTTCCTCTGTAGATTTAACCAGTGCCAAGAGCAGTAAAAGAGTTATGTTTCTGTCTCATATGTAAAGTTTGTGACTATTTCAACATCTCAATTTTTGCAGGTCTTGTGTACGTAAATGCTAAGCCTGTTAAGCCTTTGCTTAGAAATCCCTTCACAATAAGAACAGCTCAAATTGTTTTGTCCTTACTTGTTTCTTCAAACGAAGATGTTAGAATTGGAAGCTACAAGTGAAAAACAACAGGGAGGTACGGAAATATCCTGACGCCAATGTGCTTCATAATTTGACTTCTGTGAATATTCAGTGCTGCAAATTAAACAAGGACACTGGAAACTTATTTAAATATGTATCAGATGCTGACACACGGTTAGGTTTTAATGTGAGAAATTTAAAACCCTCAAAGTAATTTCTTGAGAAACATTTAAATGACAGAAAACTGTGGGGAGAGCAACGATGCAACCTCGGCTTAAATTACAGCCTTTCAACACAGGGCTGCAAGGAGGGGAAATGTGTCATCACAAGAGCCACAGGGGCAAAGGGAGTGGAGGAAAACCAGGAGAAGTGAGAGAACAACTTTGGTGTCCCCAGACCTCTACTGTGTGCAGCCACCCTGCCCTGGTACAAATGGCTGTGATGGGAATCAAGAAGGATGGGAAATCCAGCTGTTTAGGCTGGGAGCTGGGGATGCAGAGGTTTCGTTGCCAGATGGATACCAAGATGGGTCAGATGCTACCCCCCAGAACTTCTCATGCCCCAGATTGTCAGCTCCAGAAGTACCCATGGGTTTTCTGTAGCCAAGCTCATTCATGTTTTCTTTGCCTGGTTTGAAAGAGGAATTGCTCATTCTGACCAAGTGCCTTCAGAAGTGACGAATGCTGCACAAAGGAATATAGATTTCCATTTTTTAATTATTCCATGTTCAGGTTGTGGTCAAGATGTGACTATTCAGACTGGGATGGTTTGATTAGCACTTCATAATCACCTAATTTTATTTATTTATTTATTTTATCCATTATATTCATGGGGAAATACTTCCAGTAAAATTGGCTCTGCTGTTTCTTAGGAGGAGATTGAGGTCAAATATTGTTCTGGCCATGTGAAAAGACAAAGTGAAATATTCCAGCCAGCCCCAAAGCTTCTGATGTTTGAAATATGTCAGGAGCATCATTTCAGGGGTAGGACAAGCATTTTTTCTGCTTTTATGAATATGTCCCCAAACTTGGCCAAAACAGACGCTTCGTCTTATATAGTTTCAGTCAACTTGCTAAGGATTAAAAGTGCAACTTCCAAAAACTGTGGGAATGTAACTCCAGTCCCAGTATGCAGGAGCAGAAATGGAGTTTCTTGGGCTTTTTTCTGGCACATATTGGGAGCTGCCCTGAAGAAAAAAGTGGATTTATTGGGCATTAAGCTATAGGTTGCATGTTTTCTGGGGCAAGTCTTTCACAGATGACCATTGGAAAGTCATCTTATTTTTTTCACATGCCTTATTTCTGACACCAGTTGTATGATTCCCATGAATCTTTGCTATGAACACATAAAGCACCATAAAATACTAAAGGCTCTGAAATAAAGGGTCATCTTCTTCTTATCTTGGTGCCTTTTTGACACAGAAGTGTCTGGCTCCATTCAGTATCTGTACAATAGATCTAATAACGCCTCTTTACAAGGCCATTGTGGACAGAAATTGAGTAGTTTGGGGAAATTGTTAAGATACTATAACAATGAAAAGGACAAAAGGAAGCCTAGGATGAATCTAATAATCCCATATTAGTTACTAAACAAAGCCAGAAGCCATACTTAATAATGGAACAGAAATACCTGTGTTCACGTCATTTGAGAGCTCAGCATGAAGCAAAAGAATCAGCGTCAAACTGGGACTTCAAGAAAACCTTTAATTATAGTACTTACTAACTTCAGGTACTTGATTTACCCTTAACCTTCACACAGTGTGGGATTTTTTTTGTGTGTGTTCTCATATATTAGCTATGTAACACACCCTCTACAAATTTACAACATTCTGATCTAAACCAGATTGAAAATTTGGAAAAGATTGATTAATTACATGCCAAACTATTAACTTATTTTCTAATTATGGACAGATATTTTAATTTCTTAAGGATTCCCTTTATTGTTTTGCAAGGTAAGCAAAGATTTTGCACAGTTGTATATGCTTACATTAACATCAGCTGCATCTAACCTTGCCCTCAGTTTGTTATTTTTAGTGGAAAATGTTCTGAAAATTTACCATTTAAGCATCAGTCATTCCATGAGAGTAACCCACAAAAACAATCTGGATCATCCTTTTTGCAGAAGGCCGCATGTATAATGTCAGTAGGACACACTGCTACGAGCCCAGAAAATGCTTAAGTGTGTTTCTGAATTGGGGCCTGGTTAAGGCATCAGTTATGGTTATTTGCAAGTCACATTTCAATATCCAGCTTTTCAGGCTGTGTGTTTTTGTAGTTGCAACTTTCCACCTCCCCCGCACTGATTTAAGTGATGTTATTCTTGGCTAATAGTAATTGTGAGAAAATTGAATTCCATCTGTTTCCACCAAAAGCAGAAAATAGAATGTGAGAATCAATAGAAGACTGCACTTGTTATACACATTTGTCACAATCAGTGGCTTTGCTAAGGAAACATGTCCACAGGTATGATTTGCAAAATAAATAGCAAGTCCCGGCATCTGATCACCAGCTGGCTTATTTAAAAGCCACTTCTGACAGCTATGGATCGTGAACTTTCAGATATTGCATGACCCTTCCGGACCCGTTCAAGGGGAAAGATGTCTTTCACTGGACAGATGAGAATTTTAATTCAAATATAGATCTGGCTGTGCATGCATCATCAACGTTTTGGCTTTGCATTCGGCAGTTTCTCAATCCTACATGACCAATTTCTCATGTTCATGCTGATTACTCCATATCCTTTGTAATTTCATAAATAGTTATTGTGCATCATCAGAGATTTCTATATGACTAATATCAGCATCATTTCTTTTTTTTTTTTTTTTTTTTTTCTCTGTTAATGTTGTCAGAATTGAAACCTCTGTAGCTCCTCTTGGCTGAGCTGTCTTATTCATGGTCATGACCAAACCATAGAGAGGCAAACCCACAACACTTTAATAAGTCCTAGCAAGCCTATGCTCATGTGCAGGCACAGCACCACTCATTCTTCAAATCCGTATTCCATCCACATGGTAGGACATACCAGTGTCTTATCTGCATGTTTTCATTGCAAACATAAGCTGGGTGGATCATTGCAAGAGTACTTCAGCAAGAACTGCTGGATTCCTTGTATTGTGTTTAAGGTTTACTTTACCTCGGTTTGCCTAATCCTGTTACAGTCTCTGTGTAATATGACATATTTTGCAAATGGTGCTGTGACACAGCCAGTGCTGCCTTGATGTTTCTTGACAGCGTCAACACAACCCAGTTTAGTACTCAAGAGGGCAGTGCACCCTCTGCAGCCTGAGAGATAGATAAAACCCATCCCTGGGCTGCAGCAAGGTGGGACCTATCCAACCATCAGGCGAGTTGCTCTGCAGCTTGGGATCTCCTCAGCATGCTACAAACCTCACCTTCAGGTTGGTGGTACAGGGCAAAGCTGGGTTCACCTGCCCCCACTGCCACCAAGAGGAGGACTGAGGCCACCCCAGTCGTTTCAGCCAAGAATTCCTCCCAGGAACAACAGGCATAGCTCATTAATTTAAAAGGTGGTTTGGGGGTTCCTCGCTCCTTATGAGACTTGCAATCAGGTAACTAAAATGGTTTTCAATAAAATGTGAATGCTCAACTATAGAAGCTCAAATACCTTTAAAGTTAATGCCTGTCGTTTGCCAAAATACATAGGAAAAAAAGGTATATTAGATTGCTGCACAGCAACAGTAAAAAGCAAAGTCATTAAAAAGGAGCATTGTTGGATGTATAATGCCATTACATTAGTTAACAATATGCCTTCATCTGGAAGTCTGTTTGCCATACCTGTGATTGAATTTTAGCAAAATGTACATGCAATAAAACTTGGAAAGTCCAAAGTGGTTAATTACAATGTTCAGCAGCCTGAAAAGACTCCCATAGGCAGAGGGATTTAAGGGAGTATAGCAGCCTTCAATTTAGAGGCAAGCAAGTAAAAGGTGACAGAACAGAGGTGTGCAACATAAAGAAAATCTTGAGAAAATTAAGGTAAAATCAGGTGTTCAGTATTCTTAAAAGTTTCCCTATGGGTCAACGCAGTTGTAAAAATTCTTAAATGAGTCGAAAAAAAAATAAAAATCTACAGTGCCTAACTGCTATGAAAACGTTAGAGGAAACAAGGAGTCAACAGCTTTAAAAGAGGGCAGACATTTAAATTTATATCTGCAATTATCCTCACTGAAATAACACATAGGAGATTGATTTGTGGCTGGGTGCAGAGTGAACGCTGGTTGCTGAAGATCCTACAGTATTCAAGGTGCTGTCTCGCCAGTGCTTTGTGCAAGAGGACGGTCCCTTCCCTAGCCCTGCTGGCCATGCTATTTCTGATGCAGACCAGGATGCCATTGGCCTGAAACCTAAAAAACTGCTTTGGCAGGTGCACCATTCCTAGCTAGGCAATGCGGTGGGACATGAAACCTTTGCCTGCCTGCCCAGAACAGGGAAAGGAGTCTGGCCTTTCATTTCCAGCTAGGCATTTTATCAACTGAGCACTCAGAAAATATCCATAATATAGTGAAAGTGATGAGACAAGACAGTTAAATGTGTCTTTCCTACTAGAAGCTCCATATCATACACTTTTATCATATCAGTTGGCAGTAAGATAAAGTTCTTACAGTGTCCTGTGCTGTCTACTAGGAAAATAATAAGCCATAGCTCCA